CCGACGTGCTCACTCCTAAGTAAAGGAAGAGAGTCTCGCCGGATTGGGGCTTGGATAGGACGGGTGGGGAGGCGAGATATTGCTTCAGTTCGTTAAAGGCTTGTTGGCACTCCGTCGTCCATTTGAAACTAGCGGCCTTTCTCATTATTTGGAAGAAGGGGAGCGACTTCTCCGCGGATTTTGAAAGGAAACGGTTTAGGGCCGCAAGGCGTCCCGTCAGCCGTTGTACTTCTTTGATGTTGCGGGTGGCTCCATATTGATGATGGCTTGTATTTTCTCCGGGTTCACCTCGATGCCCCTTCGACTGACCAGGTACCCCAGGAATTTACCTCCCTGGACGCCGAAGGTGCACTTCTTTGGGTTGAGCCGGAGGTTGTATCTCTTCATGATCTCGAAGATGCCCCGGAGGTCGTCGGCATGGGTTGTGGATTGTTTGCTCTTGACGATCATATCGTCGACGTATGCTTCCATCGTCCGACCTAAGACTGCTCTAAAAATCCGGGCTACCATCCTTGTGTAGGTGGCGCCGGAGTTCTTGAGCCCAAAGGCCATGACGAGGTAGCAAAAAATTCCCTCCGGGGTCATAAAAGCAGTCTTCTCCGCGTCATCTTCGTGCATGGATATCTGGTGGTACCCTCTAAACGCGTCGAGGAACGACATCAACTCGCACCCCGCCGTCTCATCCACCAACTGATCAATGTTGGGGAGAGGGAATGGGTCCATTGGGCACGCCTTGTTCAAGTCAGTGTAATCAACACACATCCTGAACGTAGGCGGCTTTGGGGCGAGGACGACGTTCGCCAACCACGTGGGGTACTTCACCTCTCTGATGTGCTTGATGTTGAGCAGCATGGCCACCTCGGCCTTGACAAATTTCCTCCTGTCGGCTGAGAGGTAGCGCTTCTTCTGCTTGATGGGAGAGGAGGCCAGGTTCACCGATAGCCGATGTGTGATTACCTTCGGGCTGATGCCCGGCATGTCCTCTGGTCCCCATGCAAAGACGATGGCGTACATTCTCAGGACAGAGAGGATGTCCCTTCGGATATCTTGGGGGAGCTGGGTCCCGATCTTCAGCGTGCGTTCCGGCCGAGAGACGTCCAACGGAACCTCTTCCACGTCTCCGACCGGTTCGGCCTTCGGTGTGTCTTCTTCGGCCGAGGCGGTGGTGATGGTATCTATCCGCTCCTCGGCCTCATTGATCTTCCTGGTGAGCTTCAAGTAGCAAGCCCTAGCTATCTTCTGATTTCCTCTGGCGTAGCCGACGCCGTCCTTGGTGGGGAACTTGAGGCATAGATGCTTCATGGAGATGATAGCCTCAAGGTCCTCCAAGGCCGGTCGGCCCCAGATCATGTTGTGGGCGCTGTCCAGGTTGACGACCACGAACTCCATGTCAATCTTCGCCTGACAGGTACCGTCACCGACCACAACGGGAAGCACTATCGTGCCCTCGGCGTCGATAGAGTCCCCGGTGAAGCCGGATAACGGAGTCCGTATCGGCCGGAGCTCGGTCTTCTTCAACTTCAGCTGTCTGAATGTATCAACGTACATCACATTGACGGAGCTGCCAGTGTCGATGTAGTTGCGGTGGATGATGTTGTTGCCAATCTCGCATTTGACGACGAGGGCGTCCCTTTGGGGCAAGGGGCCGAAGGGGAGGTCCTTGTCGGTGAAAGTGATAGCTTCCACGCTCCGTCGCTTCGGCTGAGGGGGGGCGTGGGACACCTCACCAACGTATAGGGACTGAGCCCATTTCTTCCGTTGGGTAGCCGAATCCCCCCTGTGTTCCCGCCGACGATGATGTGAATGTGATGCTTCTTCTGGCGGGGCTCCTCTTCGTCCTCATCTTCACTGAGGGCGCCGATCTCCCTCTTTTTCCCGGAGGATCCTTCCCCCCTTTTGCCAGGGTTAACCCAAGTGTTACTCTTGGGGGCACCCTTGACAAATTGGGAAAGTTCCCCCTGTCGGACGAGGCCGTCGATGTGCCTCTTTAGGGTGGTGCAATCCTCGGTCTTGTGGGATGTCTGGCGGTGGTACTTGCAGTATGTCCCTCCTTTGTGGATCGCAAATATCTCCTCCTCTGACCTGGGGTCCTTCACGATGAGGCCTTGCGCCTCGGCGTGGTCAAGGACGACGCTCACCGGGTGGGTGAGGGGGATGCGTTGTGCCTCCAACTTTGGACGCCATGAACGATCCTCTCTTTGCTATCCGCCTTGCTCCTGGTGTGCCTTCTTTGGCTGGTGCTGTCCCTTGTTGGCCGGCGGGTGGTGGGGGTTGGACGAGGAGTCCTTCTTTTGTTGCTTCTCCCCACCCTTCTTCTGGTTCAGGAGCTCGTCGGCATTAGCGTGCCTATCTCCGCGTCGGAGCGCCGCGAGGTATGACCACGGCGGCTCCGTGAACAGGCTCCGGGCGTAGTGGCTCGGCCGGAGTGCTCCGCGGAGGAAAGACAGGAGGGTGCGCTCATCGGCTCCTTCGCATTCGTCCGCCTCCCTCGTCCAGCGATCGAGGAAGGCTCGGAGCGTCTCCTCCGATTGTTGCTTGATGGTCAGGAGATGAGCGAAATGCTTCTTCGCGCGCTTCCTCCCGGCAAAGTGGGTGAGGAAGCGTTGAGCAAGATCCTGCCATGAGTCGATGCTCCCCTCCGGAAGGTTGTTGAACCAATCGTACGCTGGTCCCTCCAAGGTGGATAGGAACCAGCGACACATGTACTCCTCCGAAGCGTTGGTCATCATCATATTGTTCTGATAACGGGTGAAGTGCTCCTGGGGATCAGTGCGGCCGTCATATGGCTTGATCGGATTCCCCTTATACTTCTCTGGGATGGGGGCGGAGAGTACCCTGGCAGAGAAGGGGGTCCTTGTTCTTATCTGGATGACGGGCTCGTCGCGCCGGTCAGCCAACTCCCTTTCCAGAGCACTGACCTTGCTCAGGAGCGCGTCGTAGTTGGGATGCTGGGATGTGTGGGCCGATGCGCGCCCTGCGGCCTCTCGGGCCTCCATGTCAGCGAGGCGCTTCTCCAAGCGGGCGATGATCTCATCCCTTGGGTCCGTGTTGGCCGCGGCGGCGCCCAGAGGGGTCTGGATCCGGGCCGCGTGGGCCAAGTTGATTTGGTGGCGCGCATCGTCATCAACCAGCTTTCCTTTTCCCTTATCTGGTCGGGGCCGGTCCGTTGTCCGGGACACGGACCCGAAGCTTTCCTTCGGTGATCCCGGCTCGCGGCCACCCAACCGATCCGCCACCCTTCCCGTGGGTACCCGACGACTCGCGATGTCACCCAGCCTGTTGAATGCTGAGATTTTACTGCGAGGTTGGGCCGGTGTATCCCGGGTAGGCGAGGCAGTATGGGAATGGGTGTCCACGGCGAGGACGTCTTCGTTGTTGCCGAAGAAGGTGACGCCCTGTGGACGAGGTGGCGGTGGTGGCACCGTTGCGACCTCCCCCTCCCCAGTCACAGGAGTGTTGTTTTCCCCAGTCTTTGCGACAAGAGCGCTGACCACGTTGGGGTCCTGGAGGATGCTCGCAACAATGGCCGATAGTGCGGCCGGGTTTATCTGGGGAGCAGCAGGGTTAGAGGCCTGCTGGCCCGAAGCGCGATCAGCATTGCGCCTGTCCTCGAGCCCGATGCGGGCGTCCGGGGCAGTCTTGTTGAGCTGGGTGCGAAGGTCGGCCGCTGCGAGTTCGACCTCCTGAGCATTCTCATCCTGAATGATGAGATCATTGGGGACGTTGTCAGCAACGTTTCCCTGCCCCTCCTGGTTCAGTGGGGCATTCCTACCGGTATTCTTTGACCTAGTTCTTGTCATAGCTAGCGGTAGTGTTTAGTAGCGACGAAGGGTACTCACTTGATCTGTTCTAAACTCTCAACGAGAGCACCAAATGATAGATTATTAATTCTAGAGAGAAGTGAGAGCTAGAGAGAGAAAGTGAGTAATTATATTTCTCAACTTGGAACCCCCTATAACTAGCCCCTTGGGGTCTATTTATAGGTAAAAATGTGGGTTTGGGCCCCTAGCCTTGGGCTTAGGAGGCCTATTACAATAATTATGCCTTCTTTGGGCTAAATGAAGCCTCTAATGGGCTGTGTACAATACTTAATAAATACAAGGAAAGATACATTCTGCCTAGACGAAACACGGACGATGCGGTCCGTGGACGAGGCGGTCCGTGGACGATGCGGTCCATGGACGATGCGGTCCATGGACGATGCGGTCCATAGACGATGCGATCCCTGGACGATGCGGTCCATGGACGATGCGATCCCTGGACGATGCGGATCTTGGGCCTTGCCCCAAGAATCCGGGTGATGTCTTCCTTCTTGGACGTCGCGTGCCTCTGGCCGGTGCGGGTGCCCTGCTAGTGTCTTTTGGGCCGTTTGAGTATGTGGGCCATGGGGTCCAGGCCCATATACTCTATCACATTGTATGAAAGTTTTAATCGTGTTTTATAAGTGTACTACAAATTTATATCATCGGTTTTATAACTTGTTTTTTTTTCAGAATGAAAGTTTTCCAAATCTGTGTATTGGTTGATTATGCTGAAATTTATAAAGTTTTGATTGAAGCGGCTGGAAAATAATTCAATCAACCGATTGTGCTGATTTAGCTCTATCAGCAATTTTTTTCCAGTGGCTAATTAAGCATAAAGTTATGTGTTTGATGAAAAATTGACCTATCAACCGAAAATCAATGTATTGACTGTGTCACAATTTTTTTCCATAATGAAAGTTTTCCAAATCAATAGTATTATTGATTATGCTGAAATTTATAAAATTAAGTGACGGGAAAGTTGACTAATAGTTCTTTAAAATTTGTGCACATGAGAGAATAAATGATAGTGCCATTCTTTTGAATGGTTAAAAAAAATTGAGCAAGTGCTATGTACTTGTGACAAAATAGTTCTACGTACGTAATAAGGAGTATATGACAAATAGTGTTAGAAGAGTATATTCTACAATAAAATTCACTGTAATCAAAAGACCATAAGAACATTCTCACGAGTTCCTCTTTTCCAGGGAGCGAGTTCTCTTTTCCAGGGAGCGAGGATGAAGTTCAACATTGCAAACCCGACTACGGGTTGCCAGAAGAAGCTAGAGATTGATGATGAACAGAAACTTTGTGCCTTTTATGACAAGAGAATCTCTCAAGAAGTCAGTGGTGATGCTTTGGGAGAGGAGTTTAAGGGATATGTATTCAAGATCATGGGTGGATGTGACAAACAAGGATTTCCATGAAGCAAGGAGTCTTGACTCCAAACCGTGTTCTCCTTTTACTGCCTAGAGGTACTCCTTGTTTCCGGGGTTATGGAAGGCGTGATGGTGAGAGGAGAAGAAAATCAGTACGTGGGTGCATTGTCAATCCTTACCTCTCAGTTCTGAATTTGGTCATTGTGAAGAAGGGTGAAAATGACCTTCCTGGATTGACTGATGTTGAGAAGTCAAGGATGAGGGGTCCTAAAATAGCGTCAAAGATTAGGAAACTCAATCTTCAACCTGTCCAAGGAAGATGATGTCAGGAAGTATGTCAACACATACCGCAGGACATTTACTAATGAAAAGGGAAAGGAGGTTAGCAAAGCTCCTAAAATACAGAGGCTGATAACTCTGTTGACCCTCCAGAGGAAGAGGGCCAAAATTGCTCAGAAGAAGCTTAGGATTGCCAAGGCTAAGACAGAGGCTCAGGAATACAAGAAGTTGCTTGCCAGTAGGCTGAAGGAGCAAAGGGAGAGGCGCACTCAGAGTGTGGCCAAGAAGAGGTCCAAACTCTCTATTACTTCTAAGGGAGTGTTTGCGATTGCTTCAACTTTAAAAAAGTGATTTTTTAAAGTGATTTTGGGAAAAGTGATCAATAGTAAAAGTTGGTAGTGTTTGAGAAAAAAGTGATTCTGAAAAAGTAAAAGTTGGTAGTGTTTGATAAAATAAGTATTTTTTGTGTAATAGAAAAAGTGAGAAGCAGTTTAAAGCACTCTTCTACCTGCTTCCAGCTTTTAGCTTTTAAGTGATTAATTTAAGCAGAAGCTATCATTTGAAAACACTCTTTTCAACTTTTTTTAAGCCAAAAGCTGAAAAGCGCTTTTTTTAATCAATCCCAAACACTCCTTAAGCCATCTGTTGCTACTGCTTAAGCCACGTTGCATTAATGTACCCTTTCTTTTGGTAAATTACACCGTGCAGCCGGCTGTACCGTGCGCACGGTACAGCCGGGCTTTTTGTTCGTTGTGCTCTGGGATCTCCACCTCCGCCGCTCGAATCTCGTCTCTTACTTGTCGATGGCCTTCGCTCGTCGATCTGCGCACGGCGATGGAAAGGTTGTGGATGAGCTGCGCAGATGATGGCTTCGCTCGGGATGGATGTATTGCGCAAATGCTGGGAAGATGGACGGGGATGGATGGATTGCGCAGATGCTGGGAAGATGGACGCTTTGCTGAGCTTTCTTTTCCTCTTTCTATTTTTCTGATTTTTTTTAATTTGGTAGCTTTTGGGTCAGGGGATACCTAAATTGTACGGAGTACTTAGTTTTAAAGATATGAGCATGAACAAATAAAATTTTGAGTCTCATAGAGTTTTTAAATGAGCCTAAAAGAAATGAGTATACGCCTAAAAGAAATAAACTCACAAATTAATATCAAACACATTGGAAATGAATTTTATGTTAAACTAAAATGAGTATAACATTCAAAATGAATGAGTATACACAAATGAGCTTTCGAATTTTTTATACTCATTTTGTTAGTTATGCATGCTCATTTGGTACTGCTATATGCTCATTTTAAAATGATGCTCATATCAAATATAACGCCCAAAATTAATGAGCATACACAAATGAACTTTTGAATTTTTTGATACTCATTTTTGAATAATCTATGCTCATTTGGTACTGCTTTATGCTCATTTCTAAACTGATGCTCATTGTTAGGCTCCTAATACTCATAAGAACAGATTTGATGCTCATCCAAATTACTTCAATGCTCATTTAAGAGAAACCAAGATTATCATAAAAAATTACAAATTTGCCACCGTTTTTTTAGTTGTGATATCAGCTTTCTTTTATTAGCACGACGCTCATTATTAGATTCCTAATACTCATTAACAATACACTAATGATCACTTAGCAGAAACCACGATTTTTACATTATATTACAAAAATGCCACCGGCTGTACGGTGAGCACCGTATAGCCGGTTGTACAGTGGACGGATTACTTTCTTTTTTGGACTTCTTGGTTGTTACCTAGTTTTGATGTTTCAAGTTTTGGAGATTTTGTTAAACAGTTGAGACTTGATACTGCCTTTATTTATATTTAAATTAGACATTCTCACGAGTTCATTCATTGATACCAATTCTTGTTCGGAACATGAAGGCTTTGTTAACAATTAATTAATACGTGTGAGGGGTCGGAATTTAATTATATACAGTATCAAAATAATGGATAGGCATTGTATAATACTTGAGTTAAATGTTTCATTTTTTTATCATGAGTTAAATGTTTCATATGTAGATGAGATAAATAGTAGTTTAATAAAAAAAATCAATTAATGTATTGCTATATATGTAATGTATCATAATGTTTACATAACTAATGACTGAATAAAGTGTTTTATTTTTAAATTTAAGAATATAATCAACGTCACACATCAAATTTTGTTTATTTCAAGTTAAGATGGTGCTGAATTTTCCAGAAATCATATCTTTTTACTCGTAATGAGTTACGAGACCCATAATATATCAAATCGAAGGTATTTCAAAGTTCTATGCTCTTGAACTTTCAGCGGGGGTCGACTGACCACCCTGACCCCCTGGCTCCGCCCCTGATCCTACGTTCTTTAATTCACAACTTTCACGTTTGCCAACGCGCAACTTTGACTGTAATTATATTTAATTATGTATTAGTAAACATTATAAAAAGTTGATATTTTGGAAATTAACATTGATAACAATTCAATAACATTTTATACGTAATAATTTGATTATGTATTTTAGTAGAAAATCGTGATCAAAATAAGATTTGTGAAGAGTACAAAAATCATGCAAGAATTAAAGAACGGAGGAAGTATATACTCTGATAAACTGATGATGATGATTCATTTCTTAATTATGAAGTACTTTATTTATTTATTTATTTATTTATTCATAATGTATGTATATCAAATTACAGAGTATGTTTATAAAGTCTACTATGGTGATGATGATTCATTTCTTAATCTTACGAACTTTCTTGTTGCCCCAAACTTCGAGTCTACCTGCGGGGCACCCACAGGGTGCTCGGAAGATGAGAACCGCCCGTCCGTTGGGCGGCGCCATTCTCTTGAGCTCCGCCTCAAGTTCTTTCCGATCCTGCCCCAAATCCAACCGCTTCGATCCGTAATTGTAAAACACGTTCCCGTTTGCCGCGGCGTCCGCCGGCAAATACTTGAGACACTCCTCCGACTCCAGCTGGATATCGAACTCCACCGCTTTGCTCAACCCCTGACAATTCGGATTCCCGCACTTCCTAGATCGTAGATCGACGATCTCCCAAGCCACGATGACGGCGACCACTCCTAAAAGGCTCGCCACCAAGCCCACGAAATACGCAGCGGGGGCATCGCTGATGACTTCGACGGCGATTTCGAGAAGAATCGGGATGAGATGGGCGGTAACGGATATGAAATACGGGATGAAGAGAAACCAGAGGGATCCAATTACCAGGATGAGTATAACCGCGTCAAGAGCTGCCATGCGGGAGTGATCGCTGCAAAAAGGATGAGCTAGCAGATTGGAGTGGCAGTGATTCTTATTGTTCCGGGGAAGCCTGTGGGGATTGGATTGAAATCGGTTCCTGTTCTTGCGCGGCTCGAATGATCGGCAAAACTCGATCAAACTCCGGCAATCGACCATCGGTAACATCATTTGTCATGCCCCTACCTATCATTCATCAGTAATCGAACTCTGCTCAATGATTCATCTGGAAAAGTGAGAGATTTGGGAACTCAATAGGTGATAATGATCGGATTCAGATATTATTACTTCTTATATGGGTTGAGACTAATTGGAGAAATGGACTTCGAGAACGGAAATGAGAAGATAAGAAGTCAATCGTCCATCATAAATATTATTGTAAAGTACATTGTTATAACATTATTTGATATTGTTTGACACTGTTTTTGGATGTCCCAACCTGATGGAGTAATAAAATAAGAAATTGTGACAATCTGAATTATGGAATAATCAAAAAAGTAAAGGTTGCAAAAAACTTTTAATTGACTGAAGTTAATGATTATTTTAACTATTAACTATTTTCATGTAATTTTTTCTTAATTTTATTGATAAAGTATTAAATATACTCCAGATTTTAAATATAATTCTCCCACAACTTAGAAGATTCAACTACTTCGGTCTGGGTTTTATAAATTTAATAGATTCAATTTGTAACACCCCCTACCTGGCCCAGAAGGCTCGGGCAGGGATCGCTACCCGCAGTGCCGGAGCACCAAAGCGCAGACTAACTTTTTATGATCTTTTTCATTATTCCAAAAACACTTTCATGATAAAAGCAAGCTAGTGGTAATAACTTTAAGAAATTTCATATTTGCGGAAGCATTCATATTTTATACATAATAAATAAATGTTTAGTGGTGCTATTACATTATTCTAATATGCTTAATACATGTTTATTATGCAGATTGAAAATGAAATAGTATTAATATGCAAGTGTGACTCTGTGTTGATTGGCAGGTTGTTCCCAAATGCTTTTCTCCTTGAACCTTGGCTCGCATCAGCTATGTACCTACGCGAAGGACAAAATCCAACGTGCTAAGCAAATCTTGTTTAGTGGTGTTCATTCTTTCTCCATATTTTATCAATATCAAATATCACATAACAAACCAATAATTAAAAATAACATGACATATATATATATATATATTGCATTGAAAATATAAACTTCTTCAATATGATTTTTACGGGTGACTTATAAATCTCATACAAATGCATTTTGTTTCAATAGCTTTCCATTTTTTTTTGAGGAAACGCGGCTTACATTTAACTCAAATCATTTGGAAAGCAAGAAAACCGTCGTCCCCGCGAACCAGAGTCAGAGTCAATTACCTCAGTAATATAACTCACTGATCCAAAAATGGGCACAACTGAGGCAGTGATGGTAATCCTAATTAAATCATCTCCTACCACCAAATCCAAACATAATGTATTACAATCAGAAAAACAAAGAAAGCAGCAAAAGGAAATACAAATCTTACCAGAAACAGAAAAAACCCAACACAAAAAGAAACAACAACCAAAAGCACGAACAAACACACCGCAGCGCCAACCCATCCTCATCTGTAGCACCCACACCCTTGACGAGCTTACCTCTCTAAGTCCGTCGCCTCCCCGTTTTTTATATTATCCAGAGCTATCTCCTCGGTGTCCTGGTTTTGAGTTGTCTCTATTTCCCACCGCCTACGCTTTTCTCCCGAAGCTTCTTCACTTTGTTTCAGAACCACTTCCTTATTGGAGGTACTACCTGAGTCAGTTGCATCTTCATTATCCCTCAGTAATTTCCCTACTTTTCCTTGCTCTTTCCACCCCTGGCTCTCCCATCCCGAACTCGAGTCCTCCCCAATCAACCATTTACTTTTTCCTGTCGGACTGGTCTTCACCCCTCCACCTACCCTGAGAGACGCATCAAAACTCTTTTCTAGTATAAGTCCCTCCTCATACATAAGAGGACAGAACTTTTCAGAGTGCCCCATAACCCCACAAATGAAGCAAAAATTGGGAAGTTTCTCATATTGGAAATCTACCCAATATCCCACCCCTTCTTTTTTCAACGTTGTACCCTTCTTCAGGGGGAACTCCACATTAACACAAGCTTTAACACGCAAATATGGCCTCCACTGCTCCCCATAATTATTCTTATAATAGTCAACAAACTTACCCAAAAAATTACCCACTTTCCTAGTAGTACCTAAGTTCAACAGACCATAGGGAACGTTATGGACTCTAACCGAAATTCGGCCTCATTCAGAATAATCTTGTGAGGAATATCAATAGGTTTTATCTCTTTAACAATCAATAGATTCCTCTCAAACTGCCATGGTCCGCCTTCAATCACACGCTTCATATCCACAGGGTGATTAAAATTAAAGATATACCTTTTTCCTTCTATTTCTTTGATC